CCCCAAGCATGTGCTTGGGTGCCTGGTGCCTGGAGCCGGCCCTGGTTTCTTTCAATACTCTGGCATGAGGAATTTAGGGTTTTTTAGATATTGTATTTCACATTCCCAAAACCAACTAGAATACCAAAGGCACTAATACAGGATTTTAATGGAACCCAAAGCACTAGGTGTGATCAATTTTTTTTTTGTCTTCTAGGTGGGTGTGGGGGGGGGAGAAGGCTAACACTAATGTTGATCCCCAAAATCTTTCTCTCCCCCCACAGGCTGGTGGCGGCTGCTTTTGGTTTGCATGGGCGCCATGAGAAACAGAAGAAATGGCACTTTGGAAGGTTCAAAAGTTCTTTACTCCAGTATATCTCGCAGCACCGATGTGTCGTACAATGACTGTGTAAGTAACGGGCACAATGCATTTCCATGGTACGTGCGTGGGTGTAGTCTCCCTTGGAACTCTGCCACAGTGACAATTATGAATTAGTCTCATACACAAGGAGCAAGATGTATAATGGTCTTGCAGCACTTTTTCTTTAAAGAAAAATACTGTTCTATTCTATAGCCAATGGCCTCTAAAGCTACTGTAAAGCTACAGTAGGTAGGTCAGTGTCACAGAATGCTAGAACATTTTTTTGAAGGACTTTATCACAGTTCTGGACCTTCTGTGAGCAGCAATAGAATGTTGCCCTATTGTGTGGGTAGGTTTCCATTATGGACACAGTTAAATTAGAATGAATCATGATCTAATTTACCACTTGAAACTAGATGTCCAGAAATGAGAATTTAAAGCACTACCCTCCTCCTCCTCGCCGCACATCCTGGATTCCAGGGATTTTTCCTTCATGCCAATCAAGACTCATTGGCTCTGACCCTCCGCTGCCTTGCACTTTGTGGAGTTACCCGATCAGAGTAGCTGTATGTTACACCCACTTTTTGTGGGTGTAAAAAAACCTTGCAAGGCGATGGACTTTGGAGCCTGGATGCTGTGGGCGGCTGCAGATGGACTCCTAACAAGTGTGAGCTTGGGGGTATCCCATAAACTATTTTTCATACTGCCAAAATGATGAGTTATTAATGTAAAATCTTATTAGCTTTGTGCTTTGGTGAATAGTATCATCTTTGAAAGGGCACTATACTTTGAAGTAGAAGTAGCAGATCTCCCATATATTTCAGATGTCCTTTAGGTTCCTATCCCGGCAGAGACCAGGAGCATATAAAACGAAGAGAATGAACTTGTCTCATGAAATGGGCAGGCGTCTGAAACAGAACAGTGCGAATGAAATAACTTTTGAGATGGGCCCAAGCTATTTCAGTTGGCTCCAAGTCTGGATTCAGAACACCCCAAATTGAAACATGTTCAGATCCAAGGTTTTGGTTTGGCTCATAGGCAGGGGGCAGCTGCAAAATGTGACATGGGGTCTGTGTTTGGATTCTGTCCCTCCTCCTTCTCTCGTAGTCTAGGGATGTTCAGGACTGCGTGGCTTTGGTTTGGGCCCACTTTTAAATAAACACTTGAAGTTTTATACAAAGTCGATTTTCATATATATGGATCTCTTGGTTTGAAACACGTCAGACTTGAGGTCTTTCCAAGTGCTTAGCAATGTACATTTTTATTTCCAGTAGAATTTGTATCCAGACTTCTTTCCTGGTCTAGATTAAACTCCACCGTTAGCAGCAGCTGCACAAAAAGGCCCCAAACAGGCTGTGCCTTTGAGAACTCTCATATGGTTAAAGGAGAACTCCACTTTACTGAAAAGATTCAGATTGTCATAGAACTAGTCGCAAAGGGGAGTAAACTGCTGCGGCCCTGTGTGTGGGGCCATGTGCACCAAGGAAAGAAATTGTACTTCAGAGGGACGTGACTCCCCTCCTCTTGTTCCAGGTGGGGAGTAACTTTGCTAATGGTAGCAACCTACTACTTCCCTCATCCTGGCTGACGTGTGGGCGTGGGCAAGGTTCTGCCAAATCTCTGCCCACTTGCTCATGGGGTTAGTAGGAGGTATGAGTGCCTGCGCCCAAGGCCAGGGGAGGCTGTGCAGGAGCGTACAGGACAGGGTGCAATTGGTCTCCCCTTCCACGTCTGGAGCCAGCACAGTCCACGCCACGTTCTAACCCTAAACAAATAAGAGTAAATAAAAGACAAATAAAATCATTTTATGATCAGATAGGAAGCTCCCATTTTGTTAGTCCCTGGAGGCAAATTAGGTGCAAAAGAATTAACATCTCCATAGAAACAGCTGCATATCGGAGAGCTTCCAATCATCCTAAGGCAAGGTCTATTGCAGTGTTAAACACTTGGTGTGTTTAATTTAGCAGGGTTTAATTATTAAATTAGAATTGGAAATTACCTTAAAACAATCTAAATTCCACTGGGGTTTGACTCGAGAGACTTAATCTCCTACTGGGGCATGCTGGGTTCGATTAAAATAGCAAGTGGAGCTGGCATCTCTTTTGGTAGAGGCTAAGGGGAAAAAAAGGTTTGTTTGGAATGTTTTAAACACCATTTAGCAGATATGGTTAACTGTGATCCCATAACATTTCTAAAGATGTTAAACCATGTCTACACTAGGTGCTGAGTGGTGTTCAAAATTGTGGTGGAAGTGGGGGCTGCTTTGTAACTTCTTGATATTGACCTAGTTATTGGGATGTTTGCTGTATGAACATGTTGGGTTAAACCAATAGAGCTCTTACTGAATGAATAGGAAGATGAAGCCATGTTTCTAAATGTGATCCTGTGTAACCCACACACCTTCTGGGTGTGGTGCTCTGTCCCATCTAGTGGCACCGAGACCACTTAGAGAGAGATAAAATGAGTCTGCTCTACAGCCTTAGCTAAAAGCTAGTTGGCTTTTAGCTCAGGCAGTAGAGGTTCATGCACTAAACTCCAGAGGTCCCAGGTTCGATCCCGCCTGCTGATGACCGGGTCTGTCAGCGTTACATCTGGGGGTTCAACTGGAAGTCTCTGAAGCTTGGGATGTGCTTCCTCAGCTAGGGGCAGTATGTAACCCACACACCTTCTGGGTGTGGTGTTCTGTCCCATCTAGTAGCACCGAGAGCAATTAATGAGTCTGCTCTACAGCCTTAGCTAACAGTGAGATGGCTTTTAGCTCATGCAGTAGAGGCACATGCATTAAGCTCCAGAGGTTCCCGGTTTGATCCTGCCCACCGACGACTGGGGTCTGTCGGCGTTACATCTGTCCCCAGCATGTGCTTAAGGGACAATGCAAGAGCTGTTTGCTTTGATGCTCATCATGTTGTTAAAAACATCCTTTTCCTGATCTAAACAAGGCCTACTAGGACATGCTGATAGTTATTCATTTTTTTTTTGAAAGTTCCTGTTTTAATATTTCTGTTGTAGTTAAAGGATTTAGCTGTCGCCTGCCGTGCTCTTGCATTGCTGTGTCCACACAGGCCCTGACGCTACGTTGCGAACAAATGAATTGCAGTGAATCGCTGCAGTTTTCCTTTAAATGCCAGTGTAAGGCACCTGTGCTGCCTTTAAAGCGTTTGCAGTGCTGGGAGTCCCTGAGCTAAAACTTTCCCCTCTAATCTTCCCCCAAAGGATTTGGTCACCTTCATTCAAGAACATTTTAAGAAGAGAGAATGTGTCTTCTTCACAAGAGATGCCAAGTCAATGTAAGCAAATACTCTGACCGTTGCTTGTGACAGGAGCGGGAGGTAGTGCTGGTTGAGAGCAACGTAATGAAGTAACAGTCAACACCAGCGTTAGGGTTTTGGGGAGCTGCCAGGGCACTTCTTCCTTGTGCAGCTTCGTCTTCTAAGTCCCGCTTTTGCCTTCCACAATCTTTTTCTTTTCTCCCCTTCTCTGGTCATCCTCCCTGTGTTCTGGTCATGGTCCAGGGGGAGGCCTGATACAGCTCTGGGTTGGCTTAAGAGGTTGGAATGGCAGATTTTACTCCGCCCTCCAACACTCTGGCTGGGAGGAGAGATCAGGCCTCCAGTCTAGTCTACTCTGGGAAGTGAGTTTGATAAATGCACTCAAAGAGCAGGCCACACAATCCCACCTTAAAGTTGGGACTGTCATGCAAATGCGGGGGGGAGGGCACCCCGCCAGCAGGCATCTTCCTTCCCCACCAGCAGATTCCACAGCTCCCAAATGCCAGTTTTGCATACAACTAGCTGGATAGCCTAGACATGGGGACAGAAGTTCTCATGGCCAGCACAGTAGCTTCTCCTTGGTATTCCGAACTTAAACTGATGCAACAAGAATGAAAAAACAGGGATCAAGGGACAAGGCATATCCAGGGCACTAATGATTGTCTGGGTGTTGCTGAATGTCCAAATATCAAGTCCTATGGGAAATAATAAATTCAGTTGTCATGTTGTCTGGATCAGATGTAACATTATTTTACTGGCAAGCATCCCAATTGAAGTGAATGGGGTCTCGTGGGATTGATGTGAGGTGGCATATTATTTTTATTATTATTTGTATTACCATAGCACGCAGGAGCCCTTGTCATGGGCTAGGGCCCCACTGTGCTGGGTGCTGTACAAATCCAGAACAAAAGATAGTCCCTGCCTCAAAGAACTTACAGTCGAAGTCTAAAACAAGAGACAACAGATGGATACAGACAGAAAGGGGAGTACAAGAAAACGCTGAGACAGTATTGGTCAGTATGATAGGCAGTGGTCTCAGCACACCTGGGGCCTAGGTGTTCTCAAGTTTTTGTAGGTATCACAGAAATGGAGAGTTTTAAAGAGGGTTTTGAAGGTGGATAATGAGATTAGCTTTGCGGGTGTTGATGCTTGGGAGGAGCTCCCCAGGAAGGGCAGCATGGGGGAAAACATGAAGGTGCTTGTTTGAAAACTCAACAAGCGGGTGGTTAAGGCTGGTATCATGGGCCAATCAGAGATGGTGGTCAACATCTCGATATTGGATGAGAGATGAGAGAGAGGGTGGGGATGGGCCATGATGGGCCTTGCAAGTGAGGGCAAGCTACTGCTCAATGTTATAGAGAAGAGGGAGCCAGTGGAGGGATGCAAAGAGAGGGGTGATATGGTCAAAGCGACAGGCTCGGAAAATGATCTTGGCAGCAGGATTCTGAATGGATATGAATGGGGCAAGACTGCATTTGTCAAGGCCAAAGAGAAGGTGGCTGCAGTAATCGAGACACAAGCTGAAAAGGCCTCAATAAAAGAATCTTTCATCCCCAGTAGCATTCAGGGTACTCTTTACACTGTACGTTTAGAGTGAACTAAGTTACTAGAGAAATTCAACAACTCTCAGGAATTTCATAGGTTCCAAGACCAGAAGAGACCATTATGATGATCTAGTCTGGCGTCCTGTATAACACAGGCCAGAGAATTTCCCCAAAATAATTCCTAGAGCACATCTTGTAGAAAAACATCTAATCTTGATTTAGTGATAGAGACTCCACCATGACCCCTGGTAAATGTGTTCCAGTGGTCAATCACTCTCATTGTTAAAAATGTACACCTTGTTTCCAGTCTGAATTTGTCTATCTTCATCTTCCAGCCCTGCTGCATCTCACCTAATGGCAAACCAGAAATGAAGGAACTGGTTAATAATTAATACAGCAACAAAACCCAACTGTTGCATGTCTGACGACTTGCACGCTCCCCTTTGGCACAGGTGCCTCTCCTCTCACATATAAACTGTGGCATGCTTTCCCATAACCTCAGAGAAGCCCTTTGTTGGAGTTCTGTAGGGATTCAGCTTTGGGGAAGGACAGCTAGCTGGTTCTCACTAGATTCTCCCCCCACAAATCCAGGAGGAAAATATCAGACATTACTGCAGCATTTCCATTCTGTAGAGCCCACCTCCATCCCTTCCTTTTAGAAGAGAGAGGTGTGGCTAGCTACCATGTTCAATCCCAGAGAGGGTTGTGCCTGCTTGGTGAGAGAACACAACATATATTGTTGTCTTTCATCAAAGTTCCCAACTAACACATCGGCACTTTATATTCCTAGAGCATGTATGAAGCATTTTTGAATTCTGGAATAGGCAAGCTATTAATCTTCTATCCAGTTCTTTCAGAGTGTTGGAAACCCTGGGTTCATAAAGCCTTTTCCCCTTCTTTATTTCAACTTCCCTATCTGCACTGAGCTGCTCTTCTGAAGGAAGTCAGTGCTGTGTTCTGATATGTCCAGAAGGGAAAGGAATATATGACATGTTCTTGTCCATAAACGTCTCCTGAGAGAACTCCTCAGAGACCTTGCAGATAATCAGGGATGCTAACACTCTTATAAACATACGTCAACAGATGACCAGACCACTGTAGGTATCTTCTTGAGAACAGCACAAAAATGGAGGTTGGAGTCCAGCTGGGTTGCATTCCATTAGCTTCATGCTCATACAGACTCACCCTAGGGGCTACTTCCGACAGTCCAAAACAGCTGTGTTTGGATGGTGTTGGATCAAGTGTTTCTTCCAGATCTTTGGCTTATGCAGGACAACATCGAAACCTCACCGTCTTATTTGTCTGGAGCACACTTGGATTTCTTGAGTAAGAGAACTAATTAATATTCATGAACTGCAGTGTTGCTGAGAAGCACATTAGAATCCTCTCATTAAAAAGTCTTGCTGTGATATATCCTCTAAAGCAGTGGTGGGCAACCTGTGGCCCACAAGTGGCCCACCAGAGTAATCTGATTGCGGGCCGCGAGACATTTTGCTGACGTTGACTGGCTGCAGGCACGGCCCCCCGCAGCTCCCATTGGCCGGGAACAGCGAACCGCGGCCACTGGGAGCTGTGGGGGGCCGTGTCTGCGGACGGCCAATGTCAGGAAAATGTCTTGCGGCCCGCAATCAGATTACCCTGATGGGCCGCAGGTTGCCCACCACTGCTCTAAAGTGAGTTTTAGCTAAGGGTGTCACACTCATTTTCATGGTCTCGGATTACGGGTCAAGCCTAAAGACCTAGGCAATTGTTCATGTCTTCACTTTAAAGTCTGTTTGGTCTGTTGCCTTTCAGAGTCCTGCTGTACTCCACAATGATATTTGGTGGGATGCCACTATTACATCTGGCATTTACTTTTTGATTTTTCAAAGATATAATTAGCATCCGATGATCACCTGTGCCATGCTGTTTAGCATTATGAATAGATGTCACAGTCTGCAGCCCCACCATAGCAATTCACATATCTTATTTCAGAGAAAAAAGCTTTTAGCCGGTCAGTTCTACACTTATAAACAGCCCTTGTGTATCTCCTATCACCTTGGGACCAATTTCTGCATCACCCACCCCTAAATTTCAAAGCAATGTTAGTATCTTCTGTTACCATGAAATGTGCTTCATTCCTATTTCTCTCCCCCACCCCCACCACCTATGGCCATTGTTGAAAATATTTATGGACCAAAATTTTTTGATTATTTTTGACAGTGACTATTTCTAAGGATGGGTTTTTCCTCTATCCTGTAAGCAGCCCATTTTCACTCTCTGGGATTTTCACTCTCTGCAATATGGTCCAGGTAACCCAGCTCAGAACCCCCATCCTCATCCAGAGAAAGGAGAGCTTGTAGTTACCTTGGTACCTGAGCCACTGAAGCTATCTCATCTCACTAGCCTTCACTTCCAGCTCCTTTGGCTGCAAGCTGGACTCCAACTTTAGCTCCATAAACCATATTGGCTGGTACCATGGACCCATGCAGGAAGCCTGCAGTGTAACCCAATAACGCTCCCTTGTGAGGAAAGTTGGAGAGCAAGAGGCAGATACTGGGCTGTGTCCTGTCTGTAACAAAATGCTGGGCTCCTGGCTGCAGCAAAATGGCCAACTCTGTGGCAGTATTGCTGAACGCCATACATCTTAGAAAACACCAGAGTTCATAAATCCTCGAATAAAATGAATGGAGCTGGTCACACCCTTTGGAGTTACTGTTCAAAGCTTTCTGCAGACTCAGGTGGGTGCCATGTACATTGCATTGATTTACTGCATTGAATTGATAACCTTGGAAACATGAAACAGGAAATCTTCACAACCATAAGAACAAGGAAAGTTTTTCTTTTATTAAAAGCAAAGCTGAGATTCTGGAGCACAATCCTGTGGCATGATGTAAATTGGGTGGTGGTGGAACACCTGGTGCCCTGTGTAGTGGGCCTATCTCTAGAGGAGTCACAGACTGTAACTTTTATATGTTCTTTCAATCCATCTGGGTGGTGGATACCAAGACATGTTGAGATGATCCTGGGATGTCGTCACTGGGAGTCCCCAAGTCATAGGCCTCAGATAGTGAAGGGACTTAAGTTCAAGTTGGCATCATCTGACTCATGGTGGGATTTAGTTTAGAAGCAAATGTTATGGTGTTAGCACATTAAGATGGAAACCATCAGAAAGGCACTAATAAACTGAGCTTCAATCTGGCCAAAGCAGAGCAAAAAGGAGAGGGATTTAAAAATCCCTCATTGTCTCAACAAGAAACAGGTCAGAGCCCCTCTAATATGGAGCAGAGTAGGTGTTGACACATGTGTTTGATTTTGTACATACACAAGCTGAGGTCTTTCTGTAATGTTACAGAGTTAAAACACGAAATATACTTTTTGTTTGTTGGGTAGGCCCATGACCTGAATACTTGAAAATACGTGTTAGCTCTTGAGTTTTGGTTTTCTTCAGTCTTTCCCACTAGTGTAGACCTCAGCTATAGATGTTACATTTCACCTTGGGCCTTGTGCATCTTTCTGGCCAAGCACCGTAACTACTCAGTTTTGTTCAAGAATAAAACTTTAAATTCCCATTTAGAAGTATCCTATTTGTTCGAGCATAAGTTGTAACATTATAGTTGCACAATGTGCAGCCAACCTACTTGTCAAATACATGTGGAAAGGCTGCTCACCAGTCTTAGTTGTCACTATGCTATCAGTCACTGAAAGAAAAGAGTATTTGTTTTCTGGGCAAAAGATGTTAATCTGTTTCTTTTTTCTATTCACTCTTCTTGGCAGGGACAACTTGTGTAAGTGTGGGTATTCCAAAAGCCAACATATAGAGGGGACGCAGGTAAATAACACTGAGAAATGGAGTTATAGGAAACACACAAAGGAACTTCCCACTGATGCTTTTGGTGACATTCAGTTTGAAAATCTTGGGAAAAGAGGGAAGGTGAGTAACTGCTGAGCTGACACCGGGTATTTTAACTCCAGCCTATCCATAAATGGCTTCTGCCCTGTGACTTTTTGCATTAGCCTTTATAAAATAAATTCAGAATAATTAAAAAGAAGCCAAAACAATCAAAGGAGAAAAAGATGCTTAGATTTTTCGAACACGAGGAACCTAAAGTTAGGTACCTAAATAAGCAATCTGATTTTTTTCAAGCCAGTGAGAACTGCTGGGTGCTGAGCATTTTGAAAAATGGCAACTTATTTAAGGTTTAACAGAGCTGTTAAAAAAATTGACCTGTTTTAATGTTGGAAAATAGGGTTAAATGTACTTTTTGGAGAAAAAATTGTTTTTCTGAAATGATATATATATTTTGGGGAACGAACACTGGTTTTGAAATTCTTGTTTTTTTTTCCAACTGGAGAAAGTTGGGTAAACAGTCATGAATGAATTTCCCCCCACTTTACCACATTTTTAACCACTCCCACCACATGCACATATTTTCAAGTGGGTAAAAACCTTAAAAGAAACCAAAAAAATTCAAAAATCGAAATAAAAAATTTCATTTAGAAACAAAATGGTTTTGAAATGAAATTTTTTTCATTCAGTTTCAAATGCAAAAATTCTGTGGAATATTGAAAAAATGGGGATGAAAAATTTCAATTGTGATTTTTTTTCTTGCAAAGTTTCTTGCAGGGAAAATTCCCATTTCCCACACAGCTCAATATGGATTTAGGAGACTTTTGGATGGTCTTGTGCCCAGTTTTAAATGTTCAGATGGCCAAATCTGAAGATCCCGTAGCCCCTTAATAATGTTCAGGGACATTACACTATTCACGTAACTCAAATTGCGTAGCTTAGATCGACTTTTCCCTTTAGTGTAGACAAGGCCTGAGTATTCCATGGGAAGCCAGTGTAGAGCGCAGAGAACAGGGTTGTGTTTGTGGTAGGCCATGTTGCTGGGGAGACGTGCTGTTGGAGTTTCCTAAGAGCTGATGACTTCATGCACAGGTAAATCACAAGCAGAGAGAAGATCTGAATCCCATCTGCTACCTCCCAGGTGAGAGCCTTAATCACCATGCACAGAGCCATGCTCTCTCTCTCTCTCTCTCTCTCTCTCTCTCTCTCTCTGTCTCTCTCTCTCTGTGGCCCAATAAATATTTAAGAATTGATACAAGTGGAACAGCTTCAGTAGGAGAGTTTGGGAGCCACCCACCCTAGACTAGCCTACAGCCTGGTGATAAGGATGCCCACCTGACAGGGAGATGATGTGAGTTCAAGTCCCTGACCCAGAGTGGGGACTCGGACCCGGGTCTCATATCCTAGGCAAGTGCCCTAACCACTGGGCTAAAGGTTATAAGGGCAGACAGAGGGGAACACATCCTTTATCTGAAGCTGACCTTGAAAAAACTTTTTCCCCAACCAAAACTAATTGGATCAAATTCACCAATAGTTTCAGGTTGGCTGAAACTGCATTTTTTGAATAAATTTGTTTGAAAAACTTAGCCCATCTCTATTCAGGTGTCCTAGGAGTGGGGAAAATACAGGCCATAAAACAAGTCTTTAGAAAACACACACTGGGCCTGATTCTCCATTGCTTTGCACTTTGGTCATTTACTGCTGTGCAATGCGGGTGACAAATGTCACCTAATGGAACCGTTTTGACACCTGCTTTGTATTTTGTCTAGATATAAATGACTGCATGGAGGGCCAGGGAATGGGAAACCAGGCCAGGGCCGGTGCAACCCATTAGGCGACCTAGGCGGTCGCCTAGGGCACTAGCGTTTGGGGGGGCGGCATTTTCTTTGGCGGCGACCGTGGCGGCCGGATCTTCGGCCGCCCCAGTCGTTGTCGGCATTTAGGCGGAGGGAACTGGGGCAGGGGGGCGCGGGGAGGGCCGCCTGCAGCAAGTAAGGGGGGTTGGGCGGCACGCAGGGGAACCACTCCCCGCCCCAGCTCACCTCTGCTCCGCCTTCTCCCCTGAGCACGCCGCCCCGCTCTCCCTCTCTCCCTCCCAGGCTTGCGGCGCCAAACAGCTGATTGGCGCCGGCGGCGTGGGGGGGGTGGGGGGGGGGAGCTGCCACAGGGCTCGGGGAGGAGGCGGAGCAGAGGTGAGTTGGGGTAGGGAGCTGCTGCACGGCTCCCCGGGTGGTGGGGGAGCTGCCACGGGGGGGGGGTGCACGGCTCCCCGGGTGGTGGGGGAGCTGCCACGGGGGGGGCGCCTCAGGGTGGAGGGGTGGGTAGGAAGTTGCCGTGGGGGAGGCGCCTCAGGGCGGGGGGGGGGGCTGCCGCAGGGCTCAGGGAGGGGGAAGGGTGCAAGGTGGAAGTTTCGCCTAGGGCGTGAAACATCCTTGCACCGGCCCTGAACCAGGCCATCGCTTTGAGACAAAATGGAATTACTCTGTTGCTATTTATTGCTGCTAATCCTGCATTGTGTCCTCTCTTGTTGAAGTACATCCGGTTGTCCTATGACACAGACTCTGAAATGCTCTATGATCTGATGACTCAACACTGGCACCTGAAAAATCCCAACCTTGTCATCTCAGTCACAGGGGGAGCAAAAAACTTTGCTCTAAAGCCGCGGATGCGCAAGATATTCAGCAGGCTGATCTACATTGCCCAGTCCAAAGGTGAAAGGCGTATCTGGGCTGCCTTGAAGCTACTAGTTTTTATGTTTTCCTCCATTGGGCTAGCCTGGTATCTCTTGGTTTGTCAGTATAGTGGATAAATGGTGATGTTAGACACTAATATAGGGAAAGGAAAATAGATGATCAGGGAATATGCATCAAGAGACAAATCCTGGTCCCATTGAAGTCCGTGCGAGTCTTTTAATTAAATGAATGTGGGCTTAATTTGGGGAAAAACAAGGCATATATCTTGGGGCAAGTCTATCTTTTTTGATGCCACTTTGAGTGTCCCCATGCCTTTTACAATCATTTATGTAATTAATACCTGTGAATTCAGTTGTAGCCATTGGCACATAGAGTTAGGATAGTAGAAAAAGCTAATTGTAATAATTTGTATTAAAAAAAACCTAGGCTACGTTCACACCTAGTGTAACCCCTTTTTGAAGTCAGAAGAGTTCAAGCAAGTGAAGAACTTGGTTCAGTGAGTGCCATTGTGATTTAGCTGAAGTGAGAGGTGAATATTTCAGTCAGCTGGTATATTAGCCTTCCACCAAATAAAGCTGGTGGAGAAGAAGAAGCTGTGACTAGTCAGCAGAGAGGCAGAGCTTTCTATTAGTGGTTGCCTGTTTAGTCCACTTCACTTCAGACAAGTATGGCCTAATGACTTGGGAACTGGGTGGAGAGCCATTCTTGGCTTTGACAAGGATGTCCTTTGTAGCTTTGGGTAAGTCTCAACATCTCTTCTTCCTGTATCATATGGGAATTAACATCTCTCCTGTGATCGAGTGAGGATGAATTAGTTGGCTTAGTGTCTTGAGGGTAACCAACCCCGAGGGCCAAAATCCCCACTGCCTTGCCCTTTTGTGTTGTCACTTGCATCAGTGCGCAGTACTGCCACATCAGCGTCTTGCACCCACGTAACACAGGCCTTCGTGACTACAGTGGAGAATTGGGAATGACGCATGCACATATCTATAAAGACAAGAACTTTTTGTGCACAGTGGCAGGTCTGTGGCTAAATTTCATTTGGTACCTGCCATCTGCAGGGGCCTGGATTTTCACAGGAGGCACTCACTATGGACTGATGAAATATATTGGAGAGGTGGTGAGAGACAACACCATCAGTAGGAGCTCAGAGGAGAACGTGGTGGCTATCGGCATAGCAGCCTGGGGCATGATTTCCAACCGGGATAGTCTGATCAGAAGCAGCGATACTGAGGTGAGGAAAATGTAGTGCTGTCAATGGGGTCATGGGAAGCCAGTGAAAACCCTACAAAACTGAGTTATATTCTGACCAAACGCAGTCTACTCTCCGTAAATGCCTCACTGCTCTCCATCCACACCACTATCTGCATGGAGCCTGATGCCTTTGGCCTGTGACTGATTTGGATGTGAGGTCCTATTAGAAACTCTTCCTGCTACAGAACTTGTGCTGCACTGTTGTAAAATAGCCAGTGCCTATTAAAGATAATAGTTAAACAACAAATGAGATATATTGTACTCACAAATTGAGCATTGGATTTTGGAAAAGATGTGCCACTTAGACTCAGTCAGGTGGATTCACTAAAAGAGAAGGGGGCAATATAGTCTCTCTTGTCCAGCTGAGCTGCACTTCTGCACAGGAACAAAGTAGGGTCAAAGGTGTCTGTATGCACCTTTGTGTTGTCCCATTTCTGGCTCTGGCCTTGTGCCTGGGTAAGCTAGGCTGCTCTAACTCATTCGTCTGCTAGTGATCCTAAGAGGTTATTCCAGCAGCCACTAGTTGCTGTGGCATAAGAATATAAGGTTGTGGCAGCAAAAGGGAGGGCTTGTTATGCACACTAGAGGCTGGGGGAATGCAAAGAGGCACTCAGTAGTTCTTGGGTTGAACTGGGGCATCTGCCAGAAATTTCTGTAATGCAACAGTATTATTGTATATGTTGGTAAAAGGCAGAAATTTCAACTGAAGAGGAGGAGGAACAAAGCAGCATGTCTTATCCTACGTTCACTCTGCTGGATTTCATAGAGTACATCAGCAAAACAGTGGACAAAGGAGACAATAGATTGTTTGGGTTTTTTTTTGAAAACCCATTGACAAAAACCCTCACTAAGTAGCATTAAGGAAACAAAGCCTTGGGGTGAGGGGTAAAGGTTGGTCATACATTAGAAAGTGGTTAAAACGGAGGAGAAATGAATTGTTAATTTTCAACATGGCCTAGCAGGATTCAAAAATCACTAGACATCTATACGTGTAATGAGAACATCCACAGTTCCGTTATATAAAATAAAACTACAGGAGGTGTAAACCCTCACTCTCCTGGGCACAAGCCCACCACATGGGGGAAGGGAAGAATGTCCTCTGTGGACAAGTTATTCCATAACTGAGTTATGAGTGCTCTTGCAACTTTCTCTGAAGCAGCTGGTGCTGGCCTTGGGCTAGATGGACCTTTGCTCTGAACTGGTCTGGAAATTCTTATGCTGCTAAAGTCTGGAAAATAATAGAACAATAGTCATGCCCCTCCCACCGACCTGCTGTGTCCCCATTTCAAGTACTGCATGAACCATGCCCTTCCGAACTCAATGGAAACTCTTTGCTGATGTTTCTAGGGGTACTATTCAGCCCACTACATAATGGATGACCTTAAGAGGGACCCATTGTATTGCCTGGACAATAACCACACCCACCTATTGCTGGTCGATAACGGCACCCATGGATATCCAGCAATAGAGGCTAAGCTACGGACACAGTTAGAAAAATACATTTCGGAACGCGTTATCCCAGGTTGGTGCAGTTCTCTAACTTCAGATCATTCTGCTTAGGTGCTACAGGGCTAGATGCTACGGAACATACTGTGGGAGGAAACAAGCTTTCTCATGTTGCCATGCAATGGATGAGCGTTTTGCTCATATGCCTAATAACAAAGAAGGCTTCTGACGGTATACTGTCAATGTGACCCATGGTGATTTGTGCGTATTTCAAGGAGAACATGCATTCTATGCATCTGATGAAGTGGGCTGTAGCCCACAAAAGCTTATGCTCAAATAAATTTGTTAGTCTCTAAGGTGCCACAAGTACTCCTGTTCTCTATGCTTCCCATAGGTACAGATAAGTAGAGCTTACATACTCATGCAATAATCTATCTGAGGTTCACCACAGAGTACAATTTACTGGGTAAGGTGAGTTTCAAGTACTATATGGGATAAACATTCCTTTCAGTTGAGGAATCAAAACAATTTCACTTGCTGTGTCAGAGGAGATCACCTGATGGGCCCAGGTTGCTTTCCATCCTTATACTCTGTTTGTTGGGAATTCATGCCTTTTGATACATGCTGGTGTGTTGGGGGAAGGGTTGCCTGAGGAATCTGGATTTGCCATTGGGTCACACCTCTGGACTCAACTGGCTGTATATTTTAGGCCGACTGTTGCTTCTTGTTTATTATGATGTTTATGGTCTTTATTGTGTGGTGCTTTGCACAGCACATGGCATGGTGGGAACCTGACTAGGGCTCCTAGCCACTATGTTAATATAAATAATAATAACCAATGCTGATTATTAGCCACTACATGAATCATTCTGAAATAAATAAAATCAGTATTATACATTAGTGGTAAGTATATATTCACTGAGGCAATAAAACTGCACAAACTCATCACGCGACTTTAATTTCAATAAATATGCGTTATCAACTAGTGTTTAACATATGAAACTCCTATTACATTAAACCCTTTAGATGTAATTGTAGGTGCTATATTTTGATTTTCTAATGATTAAATTTACATCCATGTTAATGGTCCATCAGCCTAACTTCTCGATTAACTTATTCCTTTAATAATTACTAACGTATAAATCTACTTGTTATGATCCTGTGTGTGTGTGCGTGTATATATTTTTGTGTATAGATAATACAAACACAGGATCCGTAGCAGGTAGATTTAGAAAAGAATCTCAGACTTTGGCATAGGCCTAAACAGTCTGACACTCCCAACTTCCAGTCGGGATTGTAATCTGAGCTAACATACGAATGTTTCAGGTAACCCTCACTCTATACCAGAGTAATTCAAAACCTTGAACTCAAGCAGTCCCAAACTTGTGCGTGTGAAAACTGTAGATCTAAATGTACAGCTCAACCCCTACCTATTGTTATAGCACAGATTGTGCCTCTGTGCATAGCCCTAACCAAGGAGTGATCTGACCTGACTCATGAGTAGTGTTGGGCCTCTGAAGTACAAGTCCTCCTCTGCTCCTGTTGGGTGCTAGGCAATATACCGCTGCAGTCTTTTATAAGGCACAGCATGTTCCCCATCTCACACTGCCATGGCTCCACCCCTTCCTGTCCACCCCCATCTCTTCCTGCTGACATGCTCATGGGGGACATTTTGGACACTTAACTCCTGCTCTTTCCCCACTCCACATGGCTGGGGCTGCGTTCCAGATGAGCCAAATGCATCTGTGCAGAAGCTGGCTTTGAACTGTCCTCCCACCTACTCCTGCTGTGCAGGTCCATTAGTCCCAGCCACAACCTAGTAGGGGGATCCACTCCCCTACATCACGAGAATGCAGGATCAGGGCTCTGGCAGAAGGACTATTTCTCTTTAAAGTTATCGCACTGGAATTAAATCTTTCTGAATGTTGGGATGTGATAAAATTGCAAGAGTTGGCACAATGATTGGTGTTTTTTCTTGAAGCTCTAACTCCTGGAGTCATGTGATTATGGTAGAATCTCTTTCTTTTGTTTTAAATTTACAGCCCTGATGCTTGCAAGGAGAAACTTGAAGACCTGAATACTAAAGGGTCAGAAATCAGCATGCAAATAACACTGCCCCCCCTCCACCCAAGTCATGTCATGTATTTTTTTTTTTTTTAAGCACTGTACATTGGCAATACTAAGTACTTAAGACTTTAGCCTTGCTTTGTTACTTCTGGGAAGACTGCATCTCGGTGTTGATATCTGACACTAGATTAGGCAAAATGGGTTAGTGAGAATAACTAAAGGTCATGTAACAATGGAGTAGATGACTTTAAAAATAGTTTGGTTAAATCAGCTGAAAGTCAGGAATATGAGTATTTGTGTGTAAAATATTATCAAAGCCAAATCCAATAAACCAGTGTATAAGTGGTTATTGTGAAGTATAAAAATCGTTCAAATACATTGACACTGCAAAGTGAGACCCTCTCCCTTTTTTTGGGGGGTATATTTCAGATTCTAATTATGGTGGGAAGATTCCGATTGTGTGTTTCACCCAAGGAGGAGGGAAAGAAACTCTGAAGGTAAGTCTGAAAATAAGTCAGAAAAATTAAGTGTCCTGTGGTGTCTTGTCACAATTTTAACTGTATTCTAGATGAGGCAGGTAGCAAAGTATTAAGGTTGCCTGACACTTCCCATTATTAGACCCTATTTTCAATTGTGTTTAACTTTTTTCCAAATTTGGGCTGAAATTTTCCATGACACATGTTTGCCTCAGGCTGTAATGTTTTAGGAAGTTTCAGCCAACATGCATAAGCTGTTTCTGAGAAAGAGGCTAGAGGAATTTTTTTTTCAATGTTACAAAACAAAACTCTGGTGACCTTTAATTTGAGAATCTGTAGTGCCCCATGCTTTGGAGCAGGGACTTGTGTTAGAGATGTGCCTTTTGCTGTTCCTGTGAATATCCACTGAAATTTGAAAAAAATCTTAGTTCACACATTATCAGTAGAGACCAGGGTTTAACAGCTAAATTCCCGGAGGATTCTATCTGCACTTGGCATGCTCCATCTCAATCCTCTTCAGGACTTGCCCTGCAATTGCAGCTCTGGGCTATACCAGTTGTCACAATTCAGGGCAGTTGCACCTGTATTTCCCCATCATGGTCCACCAAGAGCACCCAGTCTATGCCCCTCACCAGTCACCTCTCTTGGGAGGAGATGCAAGTCTCTCTCCCTCTGGACTGGGCTTTTTTCAGGCTGCACAGTTCCCTGCCTCTGTTGTGATATTCCCAGCAAGCCAGACTGCCTGATCGGGCCAACATCAGCACTTGGCTTTCTCTCCAGAGCCTATGAACAGCTGTAATGGCCAGCAGTTAACAAGTTGCCACACAGCTCTTTCTAAGCAAACAGGGTTATTCTTAAGGTGATAGCATTAGAGAGAAAACATATTTAAAAGAACCTACTCACATGTTAATAAGCTTAGCAGAGATCCCCCCCCGACTCCCGCTAGAGCTCTGTCAGGAGTCAGTCCTTGAACACTTCACTCAGGGGTGGTTCTGTGGTTACAAGTTCAGCTCAGAACTAGTACCCCTGTAATAGCTTAGTCTTTCCTTTATACAGCTTGGGCCTTTGATGTTGAACAGGTTATCAGTAGATTGTGGACCTCTTATCAGGGCATAGCTTCAAAAGACTGGGGATTTGCATAACAGGAAATGGGGAAGTGAATGCAAATTCCCCTTCGAGATTCTCCAGGCAAACTACTGGACAGATTATCCAAAATCCCATTCTTATCGGACACGCTCAGTACAGTCCTTTGAAGTTCATCACACTTCCCAGGTGTAACAGGGCCCTCTTGGCTCCTGCTCCCTTTGGGCTGATAAAGTCACTTGGAGAACCGGGATTCGGTAACCACTGGTGCAGTTTATTTGCAGGTTGTGCTCCCACCACCCTTACCATCTGCAGGCAAGGGGAGGGGAGAGCTACCTCCCTGCTTCCACTCCCTGCCTTTTCCCATTCTTCCTGCTCCCCCCCTGGTTTCCTTCTCCTGAGGCTTTTATACAGCACCAACCTAATTAGGCAGCAGGAGCAGTATTAAATCTCTGCTTCCCCCAATTAGGGCCAGGTGGTCTAACCAGCTCCAATTCACCTCCCTTAATTGGAGCTGGAATGACAGAAGGCTGGCTCAGCAGTTCCTGCTCAACGCCCTGTCATACCAGGGTTCACATCACATCTTCCCCAGCATATGATCCAGCCCACAATAGTACATTACCTTTGCATTTAATAGAATGGACTCCAAAGATACTTAAACTTAACACTATAAGGTTTCCAAGGATATTGGAAGAAATTGCCATATCTGTGTCACCAATGTGTCTCAGAGGCTCACCAACTATAGGGCATTGTGGGTAGTGCTATGCCAGGAGACGATACCAAGGCTACAGGTTTGCATGGCAACATCTGGTACAGTATTGTGGCTCGTCTGGTGATTCATATGGTGGAAATCTGTGCTGAAGGTTTAGGGTTCAAAGCCTACTGGTGATAGGGGGAATTGTTACAGTCACACATAATAGAATTGATCCTAGTGCCTTAAAATATGTGAGTCTATAACTTCATGTCTGGGGCTGCATGAATGGCATGGACCATCTATAACCAGCTGGATTGTGTTCCAGAGAAGCTATCTAGGCAGATGAATTGAGTTATTGACACTCTTGTCAGGTCCAACTTTAACCCAAACTTTTCAAGACATGCTAATAAAATATAATAAATCCAGTACAGATAATCAAAGCTGATTACTACTTGTCTCATCAGAAGAGGATTAGAAATGATTATCACTCATGCCAATTAAACTTATGTTATCCTGATGATCATAGTCCCATCAAAATCAATACTAAAATTCATCTGTATAATTTCTTCACCAATGTTAATTAATCAATTTGTCAGTGCCACACACAGATTGCGAAATATCAAAGTGTGTCCCCCGAGTCACTGGTTGAATGATTTTCTAATATGCCTGCATTAAGTAGGCTTTACCCACAGGTATTTGCATCTGGTAGCATTAATTAACATAGATTTTTAATTGTTTCAATACACTCAATCTTAATTTTAATACAGACGCTCCCCGACTTATGCAAGCGTTCCGTTCCGGAATGCCTTGCTTAACTCGAATTTTGTGTAAGTCGGAAACATATACCCTACCATTACGCAAAAAAAAAACAAAAAAACCCACCCTCCTATTTCTAGCTTACGGAACTTTTTCTGTAAGTGCGGATTTGCGTAAGTCGGGTTTGCGTAACCTGGGGGGTGTCTGTAGTTAAAATTGTTCTTTGTTTCTAAAGCAATATCAATTCATTTAATATCACAAATCAAAGATTTTTAAGATCAACTTTAGGTTGCTTTAGGTGCCAAGCTTTAGGCACCCAAGTTAATAATTTTGGCTATGACTCCTTCACTTATGTCCTCATGCATCATATAGAACCGTTATTCAAGCAAACAGAATGAGTTCTACACTGTACTGAGTTTAAGGTTTAATATTCTTAACAAAATATAAGTAGCCTACTGTAAATATTAATCCTAAACCCAAGTAACTAATGCATAAGGCATTCAAACTTAAAATCAGATGGACAGTTCTTGAAGTGTTTAATAACTTTGAAGAATAACTGGCTCATAATCCAGACAAGGGTCTGTGACAGTCTGACCAATTACTTGTCAGTGACACTGGTGAAGCACTGGAATGGGTTACCTAAGGAGGTGGTGGATTCTCCTTCCCTAGAGGTTTTTAAGGTCAGGCTTGACAAAGCCCTGGCTGGGATGATTTAGTTGGGGATTGGTCCTGCTTTGAGCAGGGGGTTGGACTAGACGACCTCCTGAGGTCCCTTCCAACCCTGATATTCTATGATTCTATGATTCTGTGTTGTTCAGATGTTCATGTCTTTGTTGTTACAGCTCATGGATGGAGTGACCATCTCCAGAAGCAGATAAAACTTTGTTTTAGTCCAAGGAGGCATAGCAATAGTTTTCAAGCTGCCGACTTCTCCTGCTAAAAGAGACCCCAACTGAACAGTCATGCTTGATAGGTCTTACTGATGTCAGCAATTGGCAGAATCTGAGAGAGGGCTGTGCGCTAGGCTTGTGTGTTTCGTTTCTGATCATTGACTTCAGTTTAAGCAGAACAGAAGTGGAAATCTTTCAGGCTCCTTCCTTATATTAACGTTTGCTGTGCCCCACACAGGAAAAGATCCTTTGTCCGACTGGCATCGAAAATACGCTGCTCATGTCATATATCCACTGTCCAATTGGAAGGCATACTATGTGCTTGTGTTTGACTGCTCAAGAGTCAATTCTGTTCGATAAATCTGCCTTTTCCCCCAAGTATTTTGGTGGATGTTATCTCTGCGCTGTGGTCACGTGCCTTTATTTCTCCTGTCTCATTAACATTCATTAAGAATAGGGTTCCACTGGATAAACTTCTGTAGCTAATGGCAAACTAAATAAAGCCACCTGCTGAGTATTAATTGATAGACCTATATATGCTCTTTACGACATAGGGCTGACTCAAAGTCTAGAACGTTCTCATTCTAATGTCTGGTTAGATAAAAGGGTAATTTTTCTAACTCAATTGAGCAACTATCTGAGTAAAGCTGTTCTGTGATATTTAACAAAAATCATTAGATGTGTTGTGTGCAATTAATAAAAACACAATCTTAATAATATAACCTGATATCTACAGTAATCCTGTGTGGATGTAAGGGTCTAGTTCCCGCACCTTCAGCAAATAGACCAGAGCCCGCTACACTACTGGTCACCAGTACAAAAGTTTGGGAACCACTGAATTAGAGGCCGTTGTAATGAACTGGTATTGTAATATCCCTTGCTGGTAATAGTGAAAATATTGGCTGGAGCTGGGGAATTCTGCAGTGCCTGCACACAAACCATACCAAAAATTGTTCACTTGTTTACTGAACAGTAGACTTCAAATAGCCTGAACCTTTATTAATCAGTTATCTCTGTCCCTCTCTGTTGTGTTTTCCTAGGCCATCAATGTTGCCATCAAGAGTAAAATTCCCTGCATAGTAGTGGAGGGCTCAGGTCTGATTGCTGATGTAATAGCGAGCTTAGTGGAGGCAGAAGGCACTCTAGCCTCTTCATCTGTCAAGGAGAGGCTGCTCCGATACCTGCCGCACACTGTTTCGAGACTCACGGAAGAGGAGACTGAAAGCTGGATCAGATGGGTAGGTGTATGCTTTGCCATAGTGTTGATGAGACAGAAAGGAGAGGGGTGTGACATTGCACTCAATATGCTTTATGGAAGTATGCTTATGAATATGATGTAACTGGAATATGCTTTATGCAAAAGGTCTCTTGTAAGGTATCATAACAAAGGTTATAAACTACTGAATATGTTCCTCCTATTTGTATGGATGTATCATTCTTGTATCTCAAGCTAGAAAAATGAAGTATAACTCTGAGGTCCTATTGTAATTATGCAAAGTGTGGGCCATTAATGGTGGCTTAGAATCTTGATGGCTCCCATTGACTAGGACAATTGGTTGTAAATGGTTTATTTACCTGCAAGCCTTCCTGTGTACATGTGGGCCAATCCAGGAAGAATGGAGACTAGGGGTCTTACAGTGACATGTGACAATGTCACCTGATAAGGAAATCCATCTTAAATCTGGTACTTTTCCATTTAGAAGGAGGGGTGGGGACCCAGAGATACAAAAGATTCCTGCCTTGTGCCAAAGCTATAAAAGGGGGTGGAGCAGGACAAAGGGGGTTGCCAGTCATGAGAAAACCCCTGCTTACCATCTGAGATGTCTGCTGGAACTAACAAGGACTGTACCAGGGGTAAGGATTGGGCCCAGACTAGGAAGGAGTCTAGTCTGTGAAAGAAGCTTATTGGAACATCTTTGAGGATGAGATATTACCTGTAATCAGTTTCTTAATGTATTAGTCTTACATTAACTTGTGTGTTTTGTTTTATTTTGCTTTGTGACTTACTTTGTTCTGGCTATTATTACTTGAAACCACTTAGATCCTACTTTTTATACTTAATAAAATCACTTTTGTTTATTAATAAACCCAGAGTAAGTGATTAATACCTGGGGGAACAAACAGTTGTGCATCTCTCAATCAGTAATATAGATGGTGAACAATTTACGAATTTACCTTGTATAAGCTTTATACAGAGTAAAACGGATTTATTTGGGGTTCAGGCTCCCAGAAAGGCTGAACACTGGGTGCTGGGAAAGTCCCTGTTAACTGAGAAGCCCCTGGGCTGAGTGAATCTTAGTTTCAGTGAACTGCAGAGAGGCGTGGCCCAACCTCTGGGTCTGTGCTGGAGCTGACTGGAATGTCTTACACAGCAAAACAGGAGTGGAGGGGCACCTGTTCTGGCAGGAGGGTTGTTCTCCGTGGTATCCCAGCTCATCGAGTGACAGTCTCGAGGGGAGTCTCTGTGACCGAACCTGTCACAAGGGGGATCAGGTGAGAAAGGGCTACAGTTAAGCACCAAAGTATTTAAAACATTTAAAGAGCTTTCCTATAATAAATACGAAAACACTTTCTCTCACGGTGCACATTTAGCCTGTGCAACTCCTTGCCATAAGATACCTTTGAGGCCAAGAGCTTAGCAGGATTTTAAAAAGATGGGATGCTTACCTGGATAACAAGAACACCAAGGGTTACTATAATGAGGATTAAAATGTAAAATACCAAGGTGCTTAAAGAATCATAGAATCATAGAATATCAGGGTTGGAAGGGACCTCAGGAGGTCATCTAGTCCAACCCCCTGCTCAAAGCAGGACCAATTCCCAACTAAATCATCCCAGCCAGGGCTTTGTCAACCTGACCTTAAAAATGTCTAAGGAAGGAGATTCCACCACCTCCCTAGGTAACCCATTCCAGTGCTTCACCACCCTCCTAGTGAAAGAGTTTTTCCTAATATCCAACCTGAACCTCCCCCACTGCAACTTGAGACCATTATTCCTTGTTCTGTCATCTGCTACTACTGAGAACAGTCTAGATCCATTCTCTTTGGAACCCCCTTTCAGGTAGTTGAAAGCAGCTATCAAATCCCCCCTCAGTCTTCTCTTTTGCAGACTAAATAAGCCCAGTTCCCTCAGCCTCTCCTCATAAGTCATGTGCTCCAGCCCCCTAATCATTTTTGTTGCCCTCCGCTGGACTCTTTCCAATTTTTCCACATCCTTCTTGTAGTGTGAGGCCAAAAACTGGACACAGTACTCCAGGTGAGGCCTCACCAATGCCGAATAGAGGGGAATGATCACGTCCCTTGATCTGCTGGCAATGCCCCTACTTATACAGCCCAAAATGCTGTTAGAAGGATGTAAGCCCTCATGTTTCAGGGCTCAAGCCAAACTCTAATCAATGGAGGTTAGAAAGAAACTTCAGCTAAGGGCAGGTTATCCCATAACTACTTACTCCATGATTTCTTACACCTTCATCTGAAGTGTCAGCTACTAGCTGCTTTTCTTGGTAGGATACTGGACTAGAGGAACCACTGATAAGCTAACTGATAGGTCTCAAAATGTAACTGTAAACAGGGAGTCATCATCAAGCAGGTTTGTTTCCAGTACAGTCCTACAGGGATCGGTTGTTGGCCCAGCGCTATTTAACATTTTTATCAATGACACGGAGGAAAACATAAAATCATCACTGATAAAGTTTGCAGATGACACAAATTGGGGGAGTGAAAATGAACTGGACAGGTCAGTGATTCAGAGTGACCTGGATTGCTTGGTGAACTGGGCACAAGCAAGAAATATGTGCTTTAACACAGCTAAATGTAAGTATAGAGATCTAGAAACAAAGAATGTCAGCCATCCTTAGACGATAGGAGACTCTATCCTGGGAAGCAGTGAGTTTTGGGGAGAGGGGTGGATAATCAGCTGAACATGTGCTCCCAATATGACACTATGTGATCCTGGGATGTATCAAGAGGGGAATCTCGAGTAGGAGCAGAGAGGTTATTTCACTTCTCTATTTGGCACTAGTGTGACCACTGCTGAATACTGTGTCCAGTTCTGGTGCCCACAATTCAAGAAGGAGGCTGATAAATTGGAGAAGGTTCAGAGAAGAGACACGGGAATGATTAAAGGGTTAGAAAACATGCCTTACAGTGATAGACTCAAAGAACTCAATCTATTTAGTTTAACGAAGTGAAGGTTAAGGGATGACTCAATCACAGTCTATAGGTACCTACATGGGGAACAGACATTTAATAGTGGGCTCTCCAACCTAGCAGAGAGAGAAATTTGAAGCTGGACAAATTCAGACTGGAAATAAGGCGTGTATTTTTAACAATGAGAATAATTAACCATTGGAAGAACTTACCAAGGGCCATGGTGGATTCTTCATCACTGATCCCTTTAAAATCAGGATTAGATGTTTTTCTGAAAACTCTGCTCTAGGAATTATTTTGGGACAGTTCTCTGGCCTGTGTTATACGGGAGGTCAGACTAGATGATCACAATGGTCCCTTCTGGTCTTGGAACCTTTGATCTGATGAGCATGGCAGCTCCTATGTAAGCTTTGTAAAGAGGAAAAATGCTGGGGTGGGGTTGACTGACACAACCATTCACTAAACAAGCACTATAACTGGTGAATTTCTCCAAGCTGACACAATATCATTCTGTTCTTTTTCCATAGATTTTCTTATGGCAACAAGCTTACTATGTTAAATTTATAACATTGCTTAAGTTTCTTCGCTTACTTTCCCCTCCTTTCAGGCTTAACAATGCCATGGACAAGTTCCTCCTTCCTCTTCTTAACTGGGTTGTAGCTAGCAATACTAACTTTGTACGCACACTGGCCAGTCTTTCATCACAGCAATACACCACAGACACCTGTCTCCTTCCTTAGAGGTTTTTAAGGCCCGGCTTGACAAAGCCCTGGCTGGGATGATTTAGTTGGGAATTGGTCCTGCTTTGAGCAGGGGGTTGGACTAGATGACCTTCTGAGGTCCCTTCCAACTCTGATATTCTATGATTCTATGACTACGTGAAGTATAAGCTCACTACTACTATTCATTGGGTGCTGATAAAAATTTAACATTGTCATATACCAGCAGATTTGCTTTTCCCTTGCTACTTTAACACGAGAGAGAGCCTCAGGACACTAGACATCACTATGGAGTGCTTTACGAGGCTTATGCCTTCCTGCCATGATGCTCCAGGGCCTGGAGGTGCTGTGTCTGCAGTGCTGCCAACTTGGAGACGTTGGCATGCTCAGGATAAAAATGTGATTCCCTTGCCACCTAACCAGCAGGCTGAGCTGTTTCAGCTGCGTTTCTACCCTCTTTAATAGTGGTAGGAAAAACTGAGTTGATGAAAACCTTAATGTTTAGTTATTTTTAGAAATGCAGTGCATAATAGCACTCACTCAAGGAGCCATTATCATGGGGTAATTGGCTTTCTCAATTTCTTTTCCCAGTGCTTCATCCCAGGGTCTCCTTATCTCTCAGTTGGTCAATTATTTTATGGCTGTGATCATCTTAGTGGGGGAATGATTGCTTGTTAGAACATCTGTTAAAATTCCTAATGTTAAGTTTATGGAAAATGTGCCATTACTTTCTGTACTCTTTCTGATTATTTTTTTCTTCTTCTTAGCTTCATTTTCATCATGATTTTATTTTATTTTTTTAATGAATGCCCTAGAATATAATCTTTACAAATCTGGGCATCAGAGTCAAGCAACAAAACTTCTCCATTGAACTCTTGCAATGACTATTGTGTACCATTTACAATTCTGTGCCCCTCTGGGAATGCCATGATGCGGGGAATGCATCTCTCTATCTAGACTGCAACGCAAGGTGGTTGTTCTGCATAGGATGTGTCCCAGGGCTTATGCATATCACAAGATGATGGAGCAAACCAACTGCCTGTCTTGTGCAGTATCGTCTTTAAAACATCATATATTGGTTGCTATTAAAGGAAGGTTTAACCTTTTATAATGCACCAAATTATGCAATACCATCCCAGAGATGGCAGAGGTGGGAATTTATTCTTGAACCCAGCTCATGGCTATGCTGAGAAGTAAGAGAACTGATAGCCATGGTGGATTCTTAATAGCTGGAGAGAAATTACATTCTTTTAACAGTGATGTGGCATCCACCCAGCAGGTCAGAACCAAAACTGCACCTTTGGCCAGAACTAAAACCAAACATGAACCTTACTTCAGTGGGGGGTTTATATATATCTAAACAGCATTATCCATGATTCAAAACTCCCAAATAGAACTGAACATTGGGGTTGCCTGAAAGTTCAATCTAGATATGGATCTTTATTTCACATCTGACCCTGTATATTTATAGTTGGATGAACCAAAGCCTGGAATCCAAATTGAACTGGAAGACATTTGCGGTCAAGTTCTGGATCTGCGTTTTGTGGTTTGGGTTCATTTCTACTTTGTTTCACAGGCCTCTGCTTCTCTTGGTTCATTCAGAGGCTGAAAGTGTAAATACAAATTCCTTACAGTCCCTCAGATTGCCAGAAAGAAGGAAATTTCATAAAGCGTGATAGTCTGAGAACATAAGCTCTGTTTTTAGACGAGGCAAAGTGGCCAGAATAAACTTTTCCTTGACATATAAACTTCTAGATGTTTGGGAATTGGCACTAACACGGTATCTGAGATTTGATGTTTGGGAATTGGCACTAACACGGTATCTGAGATTTATTCCTTGTTAGTTTTTAATTTTAGTGAGAATTACCTAATTGGTCATCATTTTCTGTGTTTGTGTGTGTGGGAGAAGGGAATGACAAGAAATTGCCATATATTAAAGGATCATTAATCTAACTGTTTTTAATTTGAACTACTGTGAGTTTATTAGAACTTAATCGCTGAAATTCTCATTTTATATAGTTTGTATGTAGGGAGAGGACTTACGATAAACAGCTCTGTGAATAATACTGTATGACGGGACATTCCCCAAAGGGACATGCGCAGATAAACCACAAAGTCCTGAGAGAGCTTTAGAATTGGACTTCTTTTTTTTGTAGATCAAAGAAATCCTGGAAAACCCTCACCTGCTAACTGTTATTAAAATAGAAGAAGCTGGAGATGAAATCGTGAGCAATGCCATTTCGTTTGCGCTGTATAAAGGTGAGCACTGAGCTCTCGCCCATTGGCTTTAATTTCACTTTGCTCTTAGGTACAAGTATGGCCCTGCGGCTAGGGCACTAGCCTAGGAAGCTAGCTACCTGGATTCAATTCCCTGGACAAATCTATCTGTGCCTTAGCTCCCCATCCTGTCATGAATCCTACCTGCTGGACCATCTCCACGGAGGCTGGAATTTTCAAAGGCGCCTAAAGGAAATCCCAGTTTGGACTGCCATTGATGTTAATGGGAGTTAAATTCATGGGGAGATGGCGAGTACACCCTGGATATGAGAAACAAGCATTGAGAACAGGAGACTATCCTCTTGCCCCATCCTACATTGGTACCCTCTCCTGGCAGTTGTATGGCTGTAGCAGAAGAGAATGTGGCTCCATACTCTTACTGAAGCAAGTCAGAGTATTGGAGTATCTCAGAACTGGTAATTCCAGTGTGGAGAGGGAAGCCCCCTGCAAATACTGAGCAATTAGACCCTCTAAAATGTTGACTTTGGCATAATATGGAGTGTTTTCTGCATATTAGAAATGACTGAAAACCAACACAAAAGGGGTTTCTCCAATTATACTTTAGTAGATGGATTACTCAGCAGCTTGTGGTGTAAAACTCACAATAAAAAGGCTTGAGAGCACTGGGTGAGAGAGAACTTTGATTGACAGTCAGCAATGAGGTGATGGCCAATTAAGAGTTCATCTCACTAATGCTCATGGTGCTACCTGATCCTTCTTACTTGCAAATTCCATTTAATCACTGCAGTGAGATGTGCTGGGGCCAGATTCTCCTCATAGTCCCACTAGTGTATAAATTAAACTCTATTGATTTTACATCTGTGTGAATGGAGAATGGGGTTCCCTCAATGCTTCCTGCTACCAGTCCCCTCAGGGTGGCTCTGGAAAGGGTTTGACTCCATTGAGTGAATTGGGGTCACTCACTGCTTAGTTGCAACTAGAGAGGGGACCCAGAGATATTAAGTCATCTGGTGGGTCAATGCCCCGAGGCATGGTTGCCCCCTTCTCCCTTCCTACATCCTCTCCCAAACTCTGGGCAGCTCCTTCTGTGTGGAGCACCCATGGAGGAATTTGCGTGGGTTACTGGGTGACTGACGGTGCCAGAGAGGCAGCACTTCCCCATTACATGTGGGCAGGCAGAGGCCACATTCTGGGATGCAGTCCTGATCAGTGAGAGGTTGTGTCACTGCCTGCCCTGTTACCCTTAAATGCTCTGCTACAGAGCCCAGACACCAACAGCCATCAGACAAGCATGCAGTTCCCTGAGTGTGTGTCTGAGTGCTGGGCGGCCCTAGTTCAGTACTGATCCCAGCAGCCTGCCTACAACAGTCCCTCCCTGGGTCTCCACCAGCCTTGGTTATGACTTTGTGACCCCAACACACTCCCAGTCCTGAATTTCCCCAAAACCATCTGCCCTGAAATGTCCCCTCTCCTAAAACACTCGGAGTACTGAGGTCTGTTGCTCCTCTCAAGAGACAAAAGCACAGCAGTTTGTTGCTTTAACTGGAGCTATTCATCACTTTAAATCAAACATGGTCCTTGGTTGATTTAAAATAAAAACAAAACAAGTTTATTTAATCAAAAAGGGGTGTTTTAAGTGAGGTCAAGTATAAGGGCTAAAGTCAGAAATAATTAAAAACAAATAAAAATGAAAAAAATACTTTCTAGTGACTAAGACTTAACGAAAGGACAGCCTTGCTTCCAGGTAAGATTCTTACCGCACTTCCTGTCAGCAAGATGGTCTGACCATCCCCGTGGTCAGGATCTCCCGCAAAGTGCTCGGTTCCTTTTATGTCTTAGATGTAAGATAACTTGGGGTTCTTTGCCCCTCTCTTCTTTAGTAGACTGAACTTTTGAAATGTGCCCTTCTCAAAGTCCAGTGCCCCCGCAGTGAGGAAATGTGCCAGGGAGTCTGATGGGGAAGGTTCCATGCTGGTTTCTTCCCTGCTGATGCTTTCTGTAATGCAGATTGATCGGTCCTGCACGTGCCGATATGCCAGTGAATGGCCACTTGACTATGATTGCCTGTTGTCTGTGATTGCACCTGGATAGAGGCAGCGACCTTTCCTTTGTCTGGAAAAAAACAATTTGCCCATTCCCCAGACTTTTCTGGTTCAAACACATTTAGTCCCATATTTCCTTCACATTTGTCCAGTCCTTTGGGAGTTTACCCTACATAGACAACACAAGAATATTACTGGTCAGTGTGTATCATTGGTTTTCCAATGATATTTTACATGACACCTATTAGATACAGATTGACATAAGTGAATTGGGGCACACTGAACTGGTCAGGGCCTCTGAAACTCACTTCCTGATGCTCTTAGGGTCAAAGGCTTGCTCTGGGTAGTTACATGGACAATCTGCCTTCAGGTAATGCAATCCATGTCATTTTAAGTGCAGTTTAGTCTATACATACCACATAGGTATGTGTGTTTTAAAATGTGCACAACCTCTGAAGCCCTGTTAAAGCTATAAGTGAGCATTAAAAAAAGACAATAGAGGCTTCTTTTGTGGCTGGGATGGGGAGAGAGTTAGGGATGGTAGAATATAAGCCAAGGCGCTCTCCAATTTCTAGTCCTTACTTAGCTGACTCTTCCTCCTCCAGCTTTCAGTACCAATGAACAGGATAAAGATAACTGGAATGGGCAGCTGCAGCTGCTGTTGGAGTGGAACCAACTGGACCTGGCCAGTGATGAGATCTTCACCAATGACCGGCGCTGGGAGGTAGTCAAAGATTGCACCTTGGTACAGCTAGTGGGGTTGGCGGAGACAAGGAGTGAAATTCTTACTTGCACCATTTACGTAGGCATCGCTATTCTGATGTTTGTAAATAACAATTCCATTCCAGCTCATTCTGAAGTGAGCAGAATGTATAGGCTTAAAATACACTAACCTATCAGACAAGGGTATTGTAACATGGTAAACCCATTGCTATGGTGGCACTGCACTGTCACAGCTTACCTGGGTATGAAATATACCATTACTTCAGGTAGGTTACTCGACTGCTTGGAAACTGATGGTCTCACTCCAGTTCCTTGTCAGCCACAATGGTGGTTGTTATGTTAGCTGATGATTAATATTATTTTTTGCTCTTTGAGCAGAGGTCAAGGCTTGAAAGAGTCCAGAGACTGAACCACCCTTTCTAGAAGTGGGCCTTCTAGAGTCAGATTTGGGCATTTGGGGGGCAGAGCGCAGAAGGTATCTGGAAATTCTTGATGAAGCCTATACATGGAATAGCTAGGTATGCTTATTTCAGTCACTTCCCAAACCACAGCCATGGCTGCATTCTGAAGGAAATGTGGAGCAAAGGCAAAATGTGACCAATATTTATCCATAACAAAACATGTGAGCAACAGCAGAGGGCTAGGGGACAATGAATTCTGCTCAGCCATCCACAGCTGGCCTTGTGATAATACCTGGCTTTTCCTCGTTTTCTTCCCAGTCTGCAGACCTTCAGGATGTCATGTTTATAGCTCTTATCAAGGACCGGCCCAAATTTGTTCGCCTCTTTCTGGAGAATGGCTTGAACCTGAGGAAGTTTCTTAGCAAGGAGGTCCTTACAGAGCTTTTCTCCAACAACTTTAGCAGCCTGGTGTTTAAGAACCTGCAGATTGCTAAGAACTCCTATAATGATGCACTCCTCACATTTGTGTGGAAGATGGTTGAGGACTTCCGAAGAAGCATCAAAAAAGAGGATAAGAACGGCAAGGATGAGACAGAAATACGGCTGTTGGTAAGTAACCAATCAGTTGTCTAGCCATGTGTTCCTTAGTAGGAAAAGAATTGTCTTCCCTATTGCCATTATAACAGTAATGAATTTGCATTTCAATTGTTTAAAAAATGCTACAAATTGTGCGGAGTGCAATGGCCTTGAACGTACTGATGCATTCCACATGTTAATCTACGGCATGGATCTTTGCATTGCTCAAGTGCTAGAAGAATACGTGAGTCTTTTGTGTGAGGGTCATGGTTCCATACTATGGTGATCTCAGAGCAGTTTTAAAATATGTTGTAATGAAGGCCTACAAAGAACCCCAAATTCATATCATTGTGGATGAGAGAGCTTTCAATTGAAAATGGCTCAGTGAAGGAAATGGAAATTGTTTTTTATGTTACTGGGAAGAAAAAGTTTGAAAACGTGACAGTGCACAAGAAACCAGCTTGTCCAGACAACTTAACTCAATACTTCAAGAGCATCTTTCTAGCCCCTCGGGTCCCATGCTACTTTTGGGTCTGCCTATTCCTACTTCTATTGCCATGTACCACCAGCCTCTCCATGGCTTTCAATAGGGCAGGATCAGGCCTTTAATGCAGACCTGAGTTACAGAACTGGAATTTCCAAGGCCTGTGCATGGAGGATAACTGGACTAGATGGTCCCCTTCTGGCATTAGAATTTGTGAATCTGATTCCCTGTATATTCTTTTCCTTCATGAGCCATGGAGAGAACAAGAAGCTCTGCATTGCCCTCTTCATGCTCATAATGCCAGCAGCTCTGCATTAAGACAATGACTAGAGTCAAATCTCATGCTTCAGGGCTTTAGCTGGACACTTGCATGGGTCAGGATGGAATTTTTTTCCCTGATGCACATTTGGCCAGCTGTATTCTGGGTTTTGGTTACCTTCCTCTGAAAGCAACAGGGATTGGCCACAGCTGGATACAGGACACCAGGTGGGGTGGTATAGAGAATTTTCTTTTTCAAGGTATGTCTACACTGCAAACCCTCTTCCCCACATCTCCCTGTGATTAAGTTTCACTCCGTTTCCCCTACATTGAACTCAATAACTCAGGTTAAAAGAAAGCAATTCAGTCCCCAGGAGACTAAGCATCTGGTGTCCCACAGGCAGAGAAGAGGAGGGACTGAGACTTTCCAAACTAACTAGGGAATTCAGACACACAACTCCCATTAAAATTAATATGAGTTGTCTCTTTAAATCCCCTAGTTGGCTTTGAAATCTTCAAAGAACACTTTGTTCTCCATTTTCTGCTGAGTTATTCTTGCTGCATGGCAGTTAATGTCCAGTAATAATTTTATTGGCAGGCTAGAACTTTTGAGTGTCATAAATGGATGCATGCTATATTAAAATGAAATAAAATAATGGAAGTTGTTACTATCAGAATATTTTCAAGTTTATGGTAAGAGGTCTGGTTCAACACTCAGGGCTTAACTAAAAGGTATAGAATGGGGGTGTTTCCACCTATCATTCATCTCCTTGTAAAAATGGCATTTAGCTATGAAGCCATGTGTATATCCTCGAGGCTGGCTAAGCTACGCTCTGCGCACGAGCAGCGTGGGAGCAAAGATGATTTTCTGCTGCCTTTCTATTGTTTTCCATTTTGGGAGCAGCTGAGAGCCAGCTCATTCTTCAGCACAACTTAGAGCGGCCTTAAGGTTGCTGGGCAGCAGTGCAGAGAGAACAAACCAGGGAGCCAAGTTTAAGAGGTGTAATAACCTAATATTTACTTGATTTAAAAAATAAAACCAAGGTCATTGAACAGATAGTGCCTTTACTTCCTGCCAGGATGAATCTTCTATTACAAGGCATCCCTTGCAAGCTCTCTTTATCTGGTCAGTTCTTCAGAACAAGAAGGAGTTATCCAAAGTCATTTGGGAACAGGTAGGGTATACCACCCTTTCCCCCAGCACTGTTGTATTTATCTTGGCACGTTAAGCCTTTGCAAACATTTGCCCTCTGTCCTCCCCAGAGTAACCATCTGGGAACTCAAATGCATGATAGATAAGCTACCGATTTAAAATGTTGTACAATTTTTCCTCTCTCAATCTTCTAACTAAATGGGCCTGAGCTACTAAATTTGGATCTGGATTTGGATCCATATATGGATTTCAAGACATTCTCCTCACCTAAAGTTTGAGGGAGGGGTTGATTCAGCCTTTGAAAGGTGCTAGCTGTGAAATTCATAGCTGGACCCATGTTTGGATTATGAACCCCCTCCCTCTTCACAGTATGCAGATCATGTGATCCAGGCATATGGTTTGATCTAGTTTCTACTTCCAACGAAAAATAGAGAGGCATATTTTTTAAGGAAACCAAAACTGTATATTGGCTTCAGGTCCATCTAGCCCAGTATCCTGCCTTCTGACAGTGGCCAGTGCCAGGTGCCCCAGAGGGAATGAACAGAACAGTTAATCAGCAAGTGATCCAGTCCCAAAGACTGACTGGTCATAGTCTAAAATTTTCCCTAGTTCCTTAATTCTTGGTTGTCTAAGTGGGCACTCAAAAATGGAGGCACCTGAAATTTAGTGGACACTCCTGATTCTTTTGTCCTGTGTGTCTTAAGCTGAGCACCCAATCTGCTAATACAGGTTCCTGTGCCCATGCCAAGCCATGGCAAGTTCAGCAGGGATCAGGAGGTGTCCAGGTGAGTGTGCTGCAGTGTAAGACTATAGAGAGCATTCTAAACATCTGACTCCAGGACTCGTGTCTAAATTCCTGACACCTTGGAGAGGGTTTTAAGGCGATTTTAACCATAGAGACAAAATGAGTCACCTTGTGCCTAGAATAGTTCAGTTACAACCTGGTGTGATGGTGTTGCATTGAGTGGTTGGACTCATAGACTTCAAGGTCAGAAGGGACCATTATGATCATCTAGTCTGACCTCCCGCATGATGCAGGCCACAAAAGCTGACCCACCCACTCCTGGAATAATTCTCTATGCTTGTTTTGTGGATCTGGATCTTCATTTTCCGTTGCTGACAACGTGGCTCTATTTACCAGCCTTTAATGAACCTCCAGAACAAACAAACAGGGCAAGAAAGACAAAGCAATGATGTAAAAGGGGGTGGTGGAAGAAGCCTGTGGGTCATTAAGCAGTGGAACACATCCTCACATTGCATGGAAGAACTGTTGGTGCTCTGAGCCAATAGTGGAGAAGAATGGTGATGGCCATGCCGTGCAAAGAGCTCCATGTGACTTCCTGATTCTCTGTCTCTTCGCAGACCAGGGGCTGCACTTTGGCAGCACTCGGGGCCAGTAAACTACTAAAAAGCCTGGCAAAAGTGAAGAATGACATTAATGCTGCTGGGGAGTCTGAGGAGCTGGCAAATGAATACGAGACGAGAGCAGTAGGTAAGCGCCTGTGTTAACAGACTTGGAAACATGAGCCGTGTTCAGCTGGTGATCAGCAGCTTGTAATGACGGATGCAGAGCTGCAAGATTTTTCACTTGTACTCCTTGAAAGCTTTATGGGATGTCATGTTGTAGAGACAGCCTCTGGCTGGGCTGGCAAGAGCCTCCAGGGGGAGGACAGAAGAAGAGGTGTCTGTGGACTGGAGCAGAGGACACAGACAGAAAATTCTTTGCTAGCTCCTGGCCCTGGATAGGCAAAGCACTCAAAAAAAAAAAAAAAGTCTGTGGTGGCTAATGAGGCCTGTGTCTTTAAAACTTGCACAGACACCTACAGGAAGTGTGTGATGAATGTCAAGGCTGGGAGCTGAGCCCAGCTCTGAGTCCCAGTGCAGCGCCTTAACCAGGGCCGGCTCCAGGCACCAGCCGAGCAAGCTGGTGCTTGGGGCGGCAGATTGTATGAGGCGGCATTCCGCCCAATCCTAGGGCGGCACGGCCGCTTTTTTGTTTGTTTGTTTGGTTGGTTTTTTTGTTTTTTGTTCTGCTCCGGCCACCCTGTAGGGGGCGGCGGCACGGAGGACGGGAGCGCCCTGCAGCAAGCCCAGCAGGGCAGTCCGCGTCCTTCCCTCCCTGCCGACCGGAGCGCCGCGCAGCCCTCCCTGCAGGCGGCAGGGGGCGCGGCGGGAGGGGCCGCGTGGCAGCGCCCCGCTGAAGCCCTGGCCGCCCCCCTTCTCCCTCTCCCACCGCTCCCTTCCCCTCCCCCCGCTAGCTGGGGCACATCTGAAGCGCAGGGAGTCCCCCTGCACCCTGGCTCCGGCCGCGCAGGTTGTTTTTTTTTTTTTTCTTTTGCTTGGGGCGGCCAAAAAGCCAGAGCCGGCCCTGTCCTTAACTGCAGGCCCATCAGTCCTATTCATGCCAAGAACGTAGTGGGGAAACAACTTCCAAGGAGGACAAGCAGTGTTGTGGCTGTGATGAGTCAGCTGGGCCACAGGCTGTTATCTGAAGCTGGACTTCTTAGCCAGACATTCTGATCCTTTATGCTCTGCTCTCTTGTTATGCCTTTCTAAATCTTCTGGTATCCAGTCCATGAGGCATAGAGCTCATGGTGCTAGGATGAGTGGCAGCCCTCCTGGTAACATGGTAATTCATGGCCTGCTACCTCTTCTGTCATTAATAAGGTTCATTTTCTGGCTTTATCTGAAACCTGGACAAATGCTGATGCTGTTAATTACACCTTCGTTGAATCATTTCCAAATGAATGTGGCATTGAGGTATGAAAAACAAAATCAAAGTGTGTGGTAGCTAGCAGCACAGGGATTAATGTTTTGTTTTTATTAATTTGAATAATACCCATAACTCAGCTGTGCCAGCTGACAAGCCACTCAGTGCAAAGCACTTATTTATGATCTAAAGGGAAAGATGGCACAGTGCAGCTCATGGTGATTCACTACAGATTAAGCAAAGCCAAAAGGACAAATCCCTATCTGCACTTAGAGGTTGGTGACTGTGAAGTTGCACTTCAGCTTCCCAGTAATTTGTCAGTATCATCTTCCCAAATCAGATCATTCGACAGTGAAGGAACGATAGACACTGAAGGCGCACTACAAGGTACAAAAAACCAAAACAGCCCCCTAGCAATGAGTCTCAGAGCCGGAGTCAACTGACCCAGGTTCATGCTATGGGGTAAAACTAGCAATGTAGAGTTCCTACTCAAGCTCTGAAACCCAGCCAGGGGGGTGAATCTCAGAGCCTGAGGGAACATCTGCACTGCTACTTTTAGCCCCATAGAGCAAGCCCTGTGAGCCCACGTCAGTTGACCCAGGCTCTGAGGCTCACTGCCATGGGTCTTTTTTTTTTTTTTTGCAGTGTAGACATACCCATAGAATGAAATGGGGACACTTTTTTTCACCATGGTTCAAAGCAGCACACAAGAAGGGAAATCAAAGCTACACACTTGTGCAGAAAGAACGTACCCAGTTCTCAAGTGAATTTGAATTTTCACTTGGGGAGCTGGTTGTATCTCGCGGGTTATGCTGAAATCCTTAATAGGTGTTGTCAGAACATTTTATTTCATGTACGGTGTTTGTAAAAATTGCCTAATTTTATAGGGTCAGATTTTTAAAGGTATTTAGTTGCCTACTGGGATTTTCAAACACTCCTATTGAAATCAATGGGTGCTAGGTGCCTAAGTGCTTTTCAAAATTCTACAGGGCACCTATTTGCACCTTGGGGAACCTAAATACCATTAAAAATCTTGCCCGTAATCCTCCTCACCCTGATTTTTATCTAAAATAAAATATTAAGGCCAGAATGCTGCCAACCGTCCTCATTTGGGTAACCCTGTTGAAAATAATGGGGTTATTCGTGGAAATAAGGCCAGCAGAATTTGGGGCTCAGTCCTGATCCTATTGAAATTAATGGCAAAACTGCTATTGACTTGCTTGGCCCAGGACTGAGCTCTCATAGGCCTTTTGAAGAATGGAATTGTGAGGTTGTCTGCGTACAGTCTCAAACGCTCTATCCAATGTACCGGTTAAAAGTGGGTATTTTTCTAACTGCCATCGCTACAAAATCCCCCTGGCATTCGCAAGTTATATTGCAATGGGTTTGCCAGCACAGAAGGGACTTTGCCAGCTTGCTCACTTTTAGCTGTGTTGGTTCTGCAGGGGTAATGGGAGTCCAGTGCTACAAAGACTCACTTTTATCACCGCAACCAGTAGCTAGACACACACATGGAGCAGATGTGTTAAGTAAGAAGGTACCATTTTTACTGGACTACTTCTCAGCGCTTAATCACAACCTAGTTTTGATATCAATATGCAATCATCAAATCAGTTTGAATTTCACCATACACTTCCATGCAGACATTAAATTTGGAGTCCACTCTTCTAATCTACGGTTGTGAAAATGGGGAAGGAGCTCTTGTATTGGACATTAATTGCCAAAAACTTTACGAATGCAAATTGAAGATTCTACAAGCAAATATGCCAGTCAGAAAAAAATGAGTTGACTCCTGCAGCTACATTAGCTCAATCATGTTGCACAAACATAGTATTTCCTATTCCTATTAAATATGTAGCTTAGCGTGTCACTGATTATATTGTAAAATATACAGGCCGTGCAAAATGGCTGAGTTAATGTTGCGGTACGAACCTTAGTCTCAAGATTTCCAGCCTCTTGATCAGGGCCGGCTCTAGGCACCAGCAAAACAAGCTGGTGCTTGGGGCGGCACATTTTTAGGGGCGGCATGGCCGGCACCAGAATGCCGCCCCTAAAAATGTGCCCCGGCCGCCCTAGCTCACCTCCGCTGCTGCCGCTCATGCGCCACGGCGCGCGAAACAGCTGATTCACACGCCGCTGCTCGCCCTCCCTCCAGGGCTCTCAAACCTGGGAGGGAGGGGGAGATCCCGAGCGGCTGCGGCGCGCGAAACAGCTGATTCGCGCGCCGATGCTCACCCTCCCTCCCAGGTTTGAGAGCCTGGGAGGGAGGGGGAGACTCCGAGTGGCCACGGCGCGCGCGCCGCTTCTCCCCCTCCCTCCTAGGCTTGAGAGCCTGGGGGGAGGAGGCAGGGCTGGGGATTTGGGGAAGGGGCGGAGCTGAGGCGGGGCCGGGGGTGGGGTAAGAAAAAACCAGGGGGGCAGGGGGGGCGGCCAAAATTGTTTCTGCTTGGGGCGGCACAAATCCTAGAGCCGGCCCTGCTCTTGATCTCTGTGAGCATGAGTGAAATGGGGCCAGGGATCTGGGTAGAGTGAAGAGGTGCGTGGCTGACACAGGCTTTCTTTTTTCCCTTCTGTCCTTGTGGGACTGTCTCTCCTTTAGAGCTGTTCTCTGAGTGCTATAGCAGTGATGAAGAGCTGGCTGAACAGCTGCTGACTTATTCCTGTGAAGCCTGGGGCGGGAGCAATTGCCTGGAACTTGCTGTGGAAGCTAAAGATCAGCAGTTCATTGCACAGCCGGGAGTGCAGGTAACACAAGCTAAAAAGCAGTGATTCTTCCCCCCCACCCCCACAAGAAAAAGAAAAGGCTGCTCACGTGCGAGGTAAATATTGTGCTCACTTCCTTTTTAAAGGTTATATAGATGAATTGTTTGAAAACACCTATCCTAAAGAAATACAATGGCCGAGGCTCTCGTTTGGAAGTCAGGCGTTTCGGAGAAGGATCCCACATCAACGTGAACTCTGTCCCTTTGCCATTGTGAATTACTTCCTCCCCTACGCGATCAGATAAAGTGGTGGTTGTGCTGCTAAAAGGAATATGCTGTAGAACTGGTTCTCTGACGCCCTCGCCCCATGTGGAGGGGTGCATTTGAAACTTCCACATGCAAAGTATGCATTGAATGAGTCAAAGTATGCATGGAGGGGAGTGGTGATTCACCCACAGGTGTTATGCCAGGAGAGGAAAGTTTTAATTTACAGCTGGGGTTCATAGAGGGTCTACTGATGGAGACTGCCTGAGATTTTTACTCCCAGTGCATCTCCTCCCTCTGCTCGTGTTCTTGGGCATAGCACTCAGCAGAGTGGTGTCCTTACCTAAGACTCCCTCAGCTAAATGAAACTAACTGCTTCTCCTACCTCAAAACCGCTTGGAACATCCTGGGGATGCTAGCCTCTGGCACAAGATGGAGCAGTGGGCTTATGCAGTAGCCTTTCCTTTCTCTTGACCTGAGTAGCTCAATATTTCTGCAGCTCCCAAGTCCTCCAGTGCTACAGAAATCCAACAACTTAATATGTTTCAGTAGAAATCATTGTTGGGCTTTCTGCATTAAACATCAAACACATTTTACAGTTCTGCTTTCTCTACCCTGCTTCAATAAAACCTGGATGAATCTTTCTCCTCTTTGCTATAGAATTTCCTTTCCAAACAGTGGTATGGAGAGATCTCGAGGGACACTAAGAACTGGAAGATTATATTGTGTCTGTTCCTTTTCCCTTTAATCGGCTGTGGTTTCATCTCCTTCAGGTAACAGGGTTCTCATTGGTAGAAAAACAGAAGGGAAGCATGTCTATATAACCTATTTAGGTGCTAATATCTGGCTCACCTCATTATAGTATCTGAGTGCCCTAAACAATGAATGTATCCCAAACAGCCTTTTTAAGTGGAAGTGTCCTTCCTTTTTTACAGATGAAAAAATACGGCACAGGATAGATGAAATGATTTGCCCAAAGTCATGCTGGGACTTTGTGGCAGAACTGGGAATTGGACCCATGTTTCTCGAGTCCCACTCCAGTATCTTAAATGCAAATCCATCTTTCCTCTGATAGAGTCCATCTGCTGTGGAGGTTAATCTGAGCATGATAGCAAGGAGGACAAAGTTTGAAATTAGGGAACACAAGTTGTTACCATTTGGCAGCAGTTTGGTGGCCTATATGAAAGGAGAGGCATGGCCTCGGCAAAATTCCCAGCTGACAAGTGATCCCATCAGTGCTCATTTGGCTGGGATTGCTAACAAGATGTCTAGTGGCTGAATGAGCCAGAGACAGAACAACTCTGATCCTTCAGGGACAAGATAGGCCACCCTGCCAACGTACCGTGAGTCAGGGACATTTAACTGATGCTGCCCAGACTATAATTATTTGACAGCACTTCAAAGTGATTTTTTCGATTAAAAATCAGGCACGTTTGCATGGTCACTAAAAAAATGTTCCTTGTGAAACTAAAGTAAAGGCTTGAGAGATGTGTGTTTGAGATCATCCTTTTTTTATCTAGGAAAAAGCCCGTGGAGAGGAGCAAGAAGCTCTTGTTGTATTATGCCTCATTCTTCACCTCCCCATTTGTGGTCTTCTCCTGGAACGTCATCTTCTACATTGTTTTCCTGCTGCTCTTCGCCTATGTCCTGCTCATGGATTTCCAGAAAGAACCCACCATGCTGGAACTCATCCTCTATGTTCTGGTCTTCATCCTGCTTTGTGATGAAGTGAGACAAGTAGGCAACGCTTGTGAACCAAAATGGCCTATTTCCAGGCAGACACTTTTTTATTTCTCCTAGATGCAGAAAGAAATGGAGACCTTCTTACGGTTATGTGCAAAATGCTATGCAAAAGTCATTCAGAGAGCCCAAAGGAAGTGATTGTGTTCACCATGACTGACACACACAACTCCTGCTAATGCTGGCAGAAGCTGTGTGTGTGTGTGTGTGTGTGTGTGTGTGTGTGTGTGTGTGTGTGTTGAGGGAAACATACTGATCCTGTGCTGTATGTATTAGTCCATGGCCCAGATCCTCAAAGGTATTTAGGTATCTTTCAATGGGATTTAGGCACCTAAATATCTTTGAGGATTTTGCCATTAGAGAGAGTTCTCAAAATCATGTGGTATAAATTGTCAAAGCAATCTAGGTCATTTTAGATTAATTTTGTAATGGAAAATGTGTTGTCATGCTCTAGAATTGTTTACAAACCTATGCAGCTATCACTGGTATTTGTCATTTCATGAGTGAGAGAACTGTGGCTTACAGAGGCCCAGCACCCACACCACAAAGAGGGAACACGTCTAAGCACTACAGAGGTACTCTGAATGAGATGCACTAATGTATTTTTTTGCAGAGTTGTTTGACTATTGTGGGGGAGGGGGGGAAATGGCTTTCTTCTGAGGAGAGAACGCCTCTAGTAATAGGAGTCCTTCAGAATGCTGGGGGATTTGAGTGTGGCTGGTGAAGAGGTCATGGCAACTTACGATCTGTCGTTGAGAAGATGGTGTGTGATTTATTAGTTGTTCAGTGCAGCCTTGAGTACCGTGTAAGGCATGCATGCAGCCAGAGGACAAGTGCCAGCACAAGGGCTGCATGCGTAAAGATCATTGCAGGATGAGCCTCTGCCATGCCCAGAGTGGCTGTAACCCTGCTATTTAATCTTCATGTTTTTTTCAGAAAAAAATAAATCCATTACCAAATAAATAGGAGTGCACCTTTGGCTTGACAGATGTACCGTCTAGGGGATGAAGGGGAAAGGTTATAAGGGTCTGCTACCTTGAAATTATTCTTGTCTGATTGATTAGGTTTCCTGGTCTCTCTGGACCCCTCCTGCATCTCCCATGTAGGCCCAGCCACCACTTGAGCAGCATGACACAGCCTGCCAGACATTTTCAGTTGCAACAGCTGAGCTAAGAATGTTAAGCAGCTTCCAGTTCAGAAAGTGAAAACTGAAGGGGTTGGATGATCATAAACCCCAGCTGAAAAAGCAGCTGGGCATAAGGGAAACCTTTCTTCCCCTCCTCTTAAAATACCACCCATCAGCAATCAGGGCAGCCGGAACTGCTTCAGATCTAGGGCTCCGCATATTCTTACTCATCTGAGCAGGCATGAAGCAAATAGTCTCACTCCTGTTGATTTTAATGAGGATTACATGCCCAAGGTCTCTACATTTGAGTAAAGGTTGGCAGCATAGGCACTTACCAGGCATCTCGTTTATTTGCATTGATGGATATCAATACCCGGAGTCAGGCTGACTCTGGCAGTGCACTGTTGTGTTGTGTGGCCTAGCTGCAGAAGAAAAGTTTGAAAATCCCAGCCAGTCAATGAAGCGCCCAACTCCCCTATGTTCATTGGGAAATCCCAACACTTGGTTTCTCTTTGATTGGGATTGTGTAGGAGCATAGCAGGCAAACATCAAAGAAAAATGCAGTTGGTGTTCCTGCCCGGCTGCTATACTTACCGGCTTTTGGAGGAACGTGGGCATGTCTGACGCTCCAATTTCACTTCAGATGCTAAGGGAGATTAGCATTGCCTGGGCTCCACTGAAGACAATCCAGATTGTTTAAAAGCACGCAGCTGAGAAATGAGTTGAACCAGTGTAATCAAGGGAACTGTGTTGGCTCTGCAGAGTGTGTCCCCAACCAATAGCCAGGCCTTCCCAACCTAATGGGCCAAACCTAAACTGCACACCTTTGGGAACGTTTGGATCTGGAGCCAAACTCTTTGGCTTCAGCCTATCTTCACTTTTGAGACACCTAGATCATTTTAAGCCAATGAAAGCCATACTCTCATTGGTGAGAAATGAATGTTCTGACTAAGGTCAGAATTAGCCTCAAACTGGGGGCTTTTTTCGATTGACATAGTTAAATAAAAGGAGAACTTAAGAGCCTGGCTCACCGCTGAGGAGTGGCTGGATGGGTCTGGTATAGGTGCCAGTTCATCTTTCAACACTGCTTTTTGTTTTCCCATGGCCCAGTTCTTCAATACCTACGTGTGTGGAGCTGTATCTGACTTCAGTGGGACTCCTGCACATGGAGAGCTTCTTGGCACTATTAGCAGTATTCACCATTATCAGCTGAAGGAAATGATAATCTCCCCCCTCCCCCAAATTACTCTGTTTTTGTTCTGAATTCAAGGTCAAATCCTCTTTAAAAGGTGGATTGAGCTGGATGTCTGCAGATGAATAGGTGCCTCTGTTCAACCAGCCATGCTCTATGTGTTTTAAACGTCCACATCCAAGCACCATAGTTCCCAGTGGCCTGACGTAGAATTGTCTGCTGGAGTCAGAGGCAGTTTACTTGCTGGGCTCAATAGTTGAATGAGATTTGTTTGACCAGCTCTGTCCTTACCGGTGAGTGCCTAACACTGAGGTCTGGAAGGAGAGTTATATAGATGTTTAATAGTAAAATAAAAGTACAGTGCTTACAATTTTTTAATTTACAGCAGGAATCTGTGTTGAACTCCTGAAGGGTCACTGAGTGAGAGAGGTTTTGATTTTGCAGTCCTTTGTCAGGCAACACGCCTATTGCAGCCAACAGAGGCACTGCGTGAGAGAAGATTTCAGGTTCAGGTCCCACGTTTGTATGTTGGTCTACAGAAATGATGAAGATGTCTGCTGTGTATTTAGTACAAACGATCAGAGTGTTACTACAATGTAATGGTTGGAATTTCATGTGCACAGAGCAAAGGGGGACCAAGTTCTGACTAGGTTTGGGGGGCACAGATGGTGGTGGTTTGCACAAAATGTGTGGGCAAGGAATGTCACCTATAAAATACCAAGTGGAAATTCTCATAGCAACTAACTTGGTTCTGTTGAGTATAGAAAGTGACTTCCTCAGGGAACTGATGGGCAGGATCCCCTGAGAGGTTAATATGAGGGAGAAAGGAGTCCAGGATTGCTGGCTGTATTTTAAAGAAGCTTTATTGAGGGTACAGGAACAAACCATCCTGATGTGCAGAAAGAATAACAAATATGGCTGGTGACCAGTTTGGCTTAACAGAGAAATCTTTGGTGAGCTTAAACACAAAAAGGAAGCTTACAAGAAGTGGAAACTTGGACAGATGACTAGGGAGGAGTATAAAAATATTGCTTGAGCATGCAGGGGTGTAATCCGGAAGGCCAAAGCACAATTGGAGTTGCAGCTAGCAAGCGATGTGAAGGGTAACAAGAAGGGTTTCTACAGGTATGTTAGCAACAAGAAGACGGTCAGGGAAAGTGTGGGACCCTTACTGAATGGGGGAGGCAACTTAGTGACAGATGATGTGGAAAAAGATGAAATACTCAATGCTTTTTTGCCTTGGTCTTCACAGACAAGGTCAGCTCCCACACTGCTGCACTGTGTAGCACAGTATGGGGAGGAGGAAGCAGCCCTCAGTGGTGAAAGAACAGGTTAAGGACTGTTTAGAAAAGCTGGACATGCACAAGTCCATGGGTCCGTATGCGCTGCATCCAAGGGTGCTGAGGAAGTTGGCGGATGTGATTGCAGAGCCATTGGCCATTATCTGTGAAAACTCGTGGCAATTGGGGAAAGTTCCAGACAATTGGAAAAAGGCAAATATAGTGCCCATCTTTAAAAAAGGGAAGAAGGAGAATCCGGGGAACTACAGAGAGGTCAGTCTCACCTCAGTCCCTAGAAAAACATGGAGCAGATCCTCAAGGAATCCACTTTGAAGCACGTGGAGGAGAGGAAGGTGATCAGGAACAGTCAACATGGATTCACCAAGGGCAAGTCATGCCTGACCAACTTGATTGCCTTCTATGATGAGTTAACTGGCTCTGTGGATATGGGGAAAGTGGTGGACATGATATACCTTGACTTTAGCAAAGCTTTTGATATAGTCTCCCACAGTATTTTTGCTAGCAACTTAAAAAAGTATGGATTGGAGGAATGGACTATAAGGTGGATAGAAAACTGGATATATCGTTGGGCTCAACAGGTAGTGATCAATAGCTCGATGTCTAGTTGGCAGCCAGTATCAAGCGAAGTGCCCCAGGGGTTAGTCCTGGGGCTGGTTTTGTTCAACATTTTCATTAATGATCTGGATGATGGGATGGATTGCCCCCTCAGCAAGTTCGCGGATAACGCTAAGCTGGGGGGAGAGGTAGATACGCTGGAGGGTAGGGATAGGGTCCAGAGTGACCAAGACAAATTGGAAGATTGGGCCAAAAGAAATCTGATGAGGTTCAACAAGGACAATGGCAGAGTCCTGCACTTAGGATGGAAGAATCCCATGTACTGCTACAGGCTGGGGACCGACTGGCTAAGCAGCAGTTCTGCAGAAAAGGACCTGGGGATTGCAGTGGACGAGAAGCTGGATATAAGTCAACAGTGTGCGCTTGTTGCCAAGAAGGCTAACGGCATATTGGGCTGCATTATTAGGAGCATTTCCAGCAGATCGAGGGAAGTGATTATTCCCCTGTATTCGGCACTGGTGAGGCCACACCTGGAGTACTGTGTCCAGTTTTAGGCCCCGCACTACAGAAAGGATGTGGACAAATTGGAGAGAGTCCAGCAGAGGGCAGCAAAAATGATTAGGGATCTGGGGAACATGACTTATCAGGAGAGGCTTGGGGAACTGGGCTTATTTAGTCTGCAGAAGAGAAGAATGGGGTGGGATTTGATAGCAATCTTCAACTACCTGAAGGGGGTTCCAAAGACAGGGCCGGCTCCAGGCACCAGCTTACCAAGCAGGTGCTTGGGGCGGCCACTTCGGAGAGGGGTGGCACGTCCAGCTGT